AGAAGGATGCTGGTAAATTACAGAGGGTCAGAGAAGAGTCAGGAGAATGATCAAGTGACTGGGAAACTTGCCTTGTAGTGAGAGACTTTTTCGCTTACAAAGAGACGTTTAATAGAAGACTTGATCCTAGGCTATCAATAATGTGATCTTGGGCTCTTCAGCCTAGCAGAGAAAGGTCTAACATGATCTGGTGGCTGGGAGCTGAAGCTGGACAAATTCAGGGTGAAAAAGGCAACATCCAAAAGCGATTAACCATTGGAACAACTTGCCGAGGAGGGCGGTGGATCTTTCATTGCTGGGAACTTTAAATCAAGGCTTGTGTTTTAAACCATCTGCTCTAGTTCAAACAGGAATTAATTCAGCGAGGTCCCATGGCCTGTGCTGTACAGGAGGGCTGGACTAGATGGTCATGATGATCCTTTGGAAGGCTAAGAACCTATGACACAATTTTTGGAAGGGGGCCACTTTGTAAATTTCTGAAGTGGTTACAGGCGGGGCCTCAGGTGGAAGGGGTGGGGCCAGGAGACTTGGAGTGCTCCCTTGCCCACAGACCCTGATTGGCCTGCGGGTGAGGGAGCACATGAAGTCTTTGTCCCCCACCCTGCTTTGAACAGCTGATGGTTCCCTCTAGGTGCCTGTGCCCCTGGCGGTGTGAGGAGACTTCCTGCTCCCAGGCCAATCAGGGGGCACACTTCTCCCCCCCCCCAAGAAAGGAAGGAAGGAAAGAAGGAAGAAAGAAAGAACACAGCAGGAGGGGGTCTGAAGGGAGGCTCTTCCCTTAGTTTGGGAGGCACCTTGCCTCCTCTCCCCTCAGCGCGCCTCCCAGCCACTCAGAAGGGCCTGGGGGCCGGGGAGCAGACATAGTCTCTGGCTCTCCTGCCTGGCCCCACCAGCGGCATGCAGTTCCCACTGGTGCTGCCCACCCCTGGTGGGGGGAGGAAACTTCACATGCTCCCCCTGCCCCCGGCCAATCAGGGGTAGGGGAGTGCGCAAAATCTCTTGCTCCCTGCCCCACCCTGCCAGGGATGCGCAATTCCCTCCTGGCAAGGCGGGGCGGGTAGCCCTCCCCGTAGCCAGTCCAATCAGGATCCAGGGGCGAGGGGAAAGTCTCCTCCCGCCGCCAGTGGTGCATGGTTCCCGCTGGTGTTGTGTGCTCCCCCATCCCCAGGTCTTGATTGGCCTAGGGGTGGGGGAGTGGCAGGCCGGCCACAGGCCGGATCCGTCTGCGTGGCGAGCACGAGGCCCCTTTGCCCACCCCTGCCCTATGAATAAGAAGCACTGTCATAGAATTTTATCCCCTGGGATGGGGGCGTGGCCAGGAATTCTCTCCTAGGGGAATTAGAGCAGTCTTGGGACCACTGTATCTTCTGCTGAGGATCAGTCAGCCTGGGACCAGGGGGTGGGTTGCAGATGGGGCAGCATCTGGCCGTTCTTCTCCTTTTCCTTCTGTGCTGTGCTCAAATGCAGCCCCGTGTCAGGGCTCAGTGCCTTCCGATTCTGCTTTCACATACACACAGGTGTTGCTCTGGGGTAGCCAGGAGCAGCATTTTGCCCCTGTGGTGGGCTTAACCGTTCCTTTGATGGTGGTGCTGATGGTGAGATGAAGATTCATGAGCTGGGCTCAATCCTGCTACCAGCAATGAGAAATAGCAAAACCAGAGAGGTTGCTCGGGGGTGGGGAGACCCAAGCTGGGGCCCAAATCTGTGTGGTTACACCAGTACAAATAAGGACCCAGTGTCAGATGATCTGGATTTATGCCCAAAGTAGGACCAGATGCCATATGAAGGTTTACGAATAATCATCACCCCTAGCTCTTTCCATCAGCGGATCTCAAAGCGCTTTGTAAGGAAAGTTGGCATCCTTCTCATTGGACCGATGGGGGAAACTGAGGCACAGTGCGAGAGAGCGCAAAAGGAACTGAGTTGTCTGTCACACAGCAAGCAGCCCTTAGAACTAGAACTCAGGTCTCTGGTGTCTCAGACCAGATTGCGAACACACGGCCGTCTACTGTTATAGTTAGCCTGGCAGTAGCACCAATGAGCCCCAGTCGTGGCTGCAGCCTGTATTGCACTAGACACTGTACATTTTGATTGCTATTAGGGGTATTGCTGTAACACACCTGCTGACACTTCCATCCTCAATCATGGATATCCTTCATTGTGCCAGGCGCTGTACATGTTGTCATTGTTAGGTGTATTACGGTAGTTCCTAGACACCCCAGAACTCCACTGTGCCAGGTGCTGTACATGTTGTCATTCTTAGGTATATTATGGTAGTGCCTAACCACTCCAGAACCCCAGTGTGCCAGGCGATGTACATTTGTCATTGTTAGTGCCTAGCCACTCCAGAATCCCATTGTGCCAAGCACTGTACAGACATGGAGCAAACCACAGTCTCTGCTCTTACAACCGTAATATTATCTCCGAGGGGTCGCCGTGTTAGTCTGTAACTGAAAAAACTTAAGAAACAACAAATAGTTCTGCAGCACCCTAGAGACTAACAAAACATGTAGATGGTGTCCTGAGCTTTCATGGGCTCAGCCCACTTCTTCAGAAGGTTGTGAAGAAGAAGTGGGTTGTGACCACGAAAGCTCATGACACCATCTACATCTTTTGTTAGTGTCTAAGGTGCTGCAGAACTATTTTTGTTTTTTAACCGTAATCATGTCCTGCGGTGAGCTGGGCTGACAGTGGCAATGTCCTGTAGAGGGTGAAGCAAAATGCAGGACTATGTAGCACTTTAAAGACTAACAAGATGGTTTATTAGATGATGAGCTTTTATGGGCCAGACCCACTTCCTTTTGATCTGAGGAAGTGGGTCTGGCCCACGAAAGCTCATCATCTAATAAACCATCTTGTTAGTCTTTAAAGTGCTACATAGTCCTGCATTTTGCTTCACCCTCTACAGGACATTGCCACTGTCAGCCCAGCTCACCGCAGGACATGATTACGGTTAAAAAACAAAAATAGTTCTGCAGCACCTTAGACACTAACAAAAGATGTAGATGGTGTCATGAGCTTTCGTGGTCACAACCCACTTCTTCTTCACAACCTTCGCTCTTGCATTCCTTTAAAAGTAGAGGTGCTTGTATTAAATCCATGCTGCCTCGTTAACCAGCAAGAGGCCGGGACCAGATCTCCAGGCAGTAGGAAACGGTGTCGCTCTACTGGTGTCCCCTCCTGGTGTAAATCAGCATTGCTGGGTGGCGCTGTACCGGATGCAGCGGGAGGCTGAGTCATGTTTGGGGGGAGGAAGACTTCAATGGTTTTGGGGCACAATCAGGTCACTTTCCCGAGGGCGGGGCGTGTGTGCCAAGGGAGAAGTGAAGATTCCTTTTCTCCCAGTGGGATGCTACAGTCCAGTTAGGTGGCAGTGGGGTAGGTGGGGGCAGGTGTAGACCTTTCTCTGCAGCATCTGCCTTCAATCTCCAGATGGAACGGGGCGGGGCAGCACTTCCTGTGTCCTTACTGGCAGCTTCCCACTCAGCTGGGAAGGCGCTAAGCCTCCAATCAAAGCCAGGGAAGAGGTGGGCTAGTTGGCTGAGTGGGGGACCCTGCCTTCTCCAGCTGACTGGGATGTGGTGGTCTTTTGGCCGCCTCTGCCTGAGCCCTGCTGCAGTGCTAGGTATGCAAGGCACAGGCCTCCACTTGGCACTAACTGGGCTCCTGTATTAGCAACCCAGCTACTGTGGTACTATGGCTGGGAGCTGGTGGGACCTCGGAGCCAGAGCTCCCCGCCAGAGAGGGCACATGGGGCAGGCTGGGGCGGTAGGGTTGCCAGATACTTTCACCAAAAAAAAAAAAAGTTGAGCAAAAAAAAAAAAAAGTCATTGCACCTTTAAATTCCTGCGCTCCCCACCCCCACCAGATGCGGCAGGGGAAGGCTGCCCCTGCCAGCCTTCCGTCCGATGAAAACAGAAAATACTGGACATTTTATGTGTCTGGTATTTTCTGGTTTTTTTACTGCACAGAAGACGCAATTACCAGGCTGTCTGGGCAAAAACCGGACACCTGGCAATGCTATGGGGAGAGGGGGCAGTGCAAGGGAGAGGGGAAGGATGGGCGCTGCTGGCGTTGTCATTTCAGTCCCATTCCCTGCTCAGGCAATGGACAGGAACTCTGGACTCCTGGTTACTTTCCCAGACCTGGGGCCTGTGGGACCCTGGTGAGCCACGGACAGTCTGGCTGTCTCCCCCTCTGATCCGGGAAAGCAGATCACTCGAGGTCTTGGTCTAATGTCTGCATATAGCACCCAGCCCGAATGGGACCGTTAGCTCATCTAATCAGGCCTCCTCCTTCGGATCCCTTGTGTTGACCTCGATGGCTCAACTGAGGCAAGTGTTCCCATCCTCAGGAAGCCAACGGCAGGGACCAGGAGAGCCCATGGTGCCCCGGTGCCTGGGGCCCTGCCCTGGCAGAGCACTCTCTGCATAGGGTGGGCGCTGATGGGCTACACTCCATGCTCCAAGCACAAGGGGTCCTAATTTGCCTTGGAGCTAGAAGAGTCTGATCCCGGGGCGTCTCTGGCAGAATCCCACCCCCCTCTGACCATGCCCACCAAATCGATCGCTCCCCCTGCCCGTCTGACACTCCGTCGCTTCCTCCTAGGTGGCCTCTGCCTGGACCTGGGCCGCCGGGTCCTCTGCAAATGCCGGCCCGGCTTCACCGGCACCCGCTGTGAGCGCAACATTGACGACTGCGCCTGCAACCCCTGCGTCAACGGGGGCACCTGCCTGGACGGGCCCAACAGCTACACCTGCTCCTGCACCCTGGGCTCTGGCGGCAAGGACCGCAGCGGGCGCGTGGACGCCTCCGGGTCCCCACC